TTAATGCTTTGCACTTTGTTCAGATGTAGATGACTTCTTACTGTTAGAATCCTTTCACACAGAAGGTTCTTGGTAATGATGTAAACCCACCTTGTTGATAACAGTGTCCTAGAAATAAAACTGCTAACCCTGATAAGGAGAGACGTTTTGACTTCAGAGGTTTTGTCTTTGTTTCCTACCATCCAGCTCTATTTTAATTGGCAATAAATTAAATTACTTTTCTCTAACTTGATTCTGTTTTGCCTGTGATGGTAACTGGTAAGTTATTTCCCCATCTTCATCTGGACCCATTTCTTTTTCTTCTTGCTTTCTCCCCCTGTTCTGCTGAGGAAGGGGAGTGAGAGAGCGGCTGGATAGGTGCCTGGCAGCAGCCGAGGTTGACCCATTACAATGTGCTAGGCACAATCACTCAATTTTTTGCAAGAAGAAATTCTGTACCTTCACTATTCTGAAATCAAATCCTTCAGCATCAAATTTTATTCACTAAATCTTTTTTGGTAATACCAAAAGAATTTATAGTTCTTGTTAGAGACCCTAACTCTTTGGAAATGATACAATACAAAAGTACTTTTAGTGGTACATAACATTTTTTCACAAGAAAATAAACCTTTTTTTTTTTTTTTTTTTTTTCCAGTGAAAGTTCTTAATGTTGGACTAGAAAGGCAAAAATTTACTTGTATGTCAGTGCTGGCTCATGTTCCACTTCTCCTACGCTGGTTACAGAGTTCTCATTAGTTCCCTGACCTCACAGTAATTTCTTTCCAGTTTTACTCATGTTGTTTTTCTGTATTTGTCTTTTAAAGTCTAGTCCTTAGGTACATTCTCCAGTCATATGTAAACAATACTGAACAGTTCACTCAAACTAATCCAGCCATGTCTACATGTTCAAAATCCATACTTCCTTTCTTTGCCTTTTTGATGGTGTATTTATGCAGTAAGTTGACTTTCAAAAAGAAGTGCACCTCAGTGCTTGCACCAAAGCCCTTTGCTCCTTTATTTGTGGCTGTACAGAGGTTTGTATGATAATGCAGTAAAAAGGATCACTACAGTGACCTGGCTTAGAAACACTTTCCTCTTTTTTTATTTTTTTTTTTTTTTTAGTATCAGAAAAAGACAATTTTCATCCTACAATAAAATTCACCTTCTTATTTCTAGGAGGTCATTGTGAAAAGCAAGCGTAATGAAAAATCTAAGCTATACATATTATTTTCCATAAAATTAATTTAAAAATCTCTGCATTTTCTGCTGTGCTATTAAACATAAAAGGAAATAGAATCCAGGAATATGTGGTATAGTAGCAAAGAGGCATGCTAGCCACAATGTCTCATTTCTGATATTATAGTCATTCTACACTTAAACTCCAGCTAACATCTAGACATTGTTTTCCTTAATCTTTTTATGCAAGTAATAACATCAGCAAAAGCCTACCATGGAAATCTCACTGCAAATTTTTTTTTCCAGTCCTAACTTCCTGGTGTTTTTGATATGCTGGAGTAATTGAGAAGTGGTTGGAGTATTTTGTGTACTTTTCACTGCAAAACACTAATATTTCCAATGTCAGAATGAAAGGGGATTTATGACATAAAAGTTACATCCAACTGCTGTCACTATCTCAAAATATAATCAGACTGCATGAAACGGGCTCTATGGCCTCCGTGGTGCATAGTTTTATACTATTAAGTGTAGCTTAGAAATAACAGAAACTGATATTGATGGGATCTGTTTTTGATTGTGCACAACAAGGCAGCCAGGAATGCTTAAGGAAACTGAAACAATAAAAGTAAATTAAAGATCTAGTTGCAGGCTGCAGATGACTCTTATTTCTCCTACCATGTTTTCAGTAAAAATTTGGCAGGTTAGTAACCTAACTTAGCATCTTTAATTGTCTTCTGAGTATGTATGCTATGATGAGACAGTCTAAACTGAAAAATTGTTTCAGGCTGCTAAACTATATAACTGGATGCAAAGATTTAATAATTGTTAGATGGGTGCTAATAGGTAGATTTATTAACAACTATGATCAAAAGAAGACTGGACAGGAGTAAAGGAGAGATGAATAAAATATAGTATTTTTACTGATCAGGGTGCTAATTTTCACGTTGCATAAAGTTACACAGAAAGAACTGAAGGAAGGACTGTACAATATAAACACCCTCAAGCCTCATACAGCAATATTTAAAGACCACTCACAAAGTAGTGTACATCTGCATAATCTGCATAGATCAGCATATGGATAGCTATAAAAGGATACAACATGGATGGAACCACTTGTTTATACAGTAGGATTATGGTATGAACTAAATGAAAAGGCATTTTTCCATTTTACTAACAAAATGTAAAAAAAATGGAGAGTAATTAAATTAATTTCAGTTTAAAAATGCTTTACTTCTAACTGCACTTTATAAACCAAACAAAAAAAATGTGTACTTTTGAGCAATTTTTCTTAGAATTATGGAGACATTTCTAGTTTGATTCTTAAAGGAGCTTTTTAATATTCACGTGGACTACAAGCTATTACATCTTCCTATAGGAGCCATATAAGCATTGTCAAGTTCAGTGCAATACTACTGATACCTTACACAGGTGCCTGTTTTGTTCAAGTGATCAGTTTGGTTTTTTAGGTTACATATACATATGAATATGCACTCAGATTTTTGTATAGTTCGTGTTCCCCAAATACACTTCACCTCTTCACTTCTAACACTAAAGAACTTAACCAAAACCAAATTTTAAACCAGATGCTTTTAATTGCAGAAAAATCCATACACTCATGTGCTGTAGCTATCAGAACTTTTGCCTAACTTACTGAGGAAAAACCCACAGCAATTCAGTCCAAACCAAGGATTTCTTTTAGATTTTGCTAGAATCCATGGAAACAGAGTATTGAGAGGCTACATATACATTGCTTTGTCACATTATTTCTGAGAGTGGCCACAACAGACTCCTGAAAATCTCAAGGGATTTACAGACCACACAAATCTTGTCCCAACATGACACTACAAGTGGTATCTTCAGGACTGGCATGTGTTCCACCACTTCTTGTATTGTCTCCCACACCCTCCAAACATTTGTTGTCCCCCTAAGACATTTATAACAGATACAAGGTGTATGTAAGGTGGATGCTAGGCTCCAGTCTTCAAGCAGCACACTCGCAGCCCCAGGCACTGGGAAAGTCTGCTTGTGTGTGGCTGCTTATTGCTGGTGCTCACCATGACTGCTCCAAAACGGATTTCAATCTCAGCAAGAGAAAGACATTTGACAGTGATGACTTTGTCTCTACCTCATTTAGGCCAATAAATCTCTTGGGCTTATCACAGATGAGTAAATCCAGGAGATAGAAGTAAATCAGGACAATGTGGACTTCAAAATAGCAGCAGAGAAAGGGAGATTGTGTCCTGATGTGATGGCTCATGTCCACACCTGTGCACCCCACTGCCCAAAAGCTATAGGCATTGGAGGGGTTTCCTGTCACTTGGAGAATAACATGCATTGTCTTCCACAGCAGGTTTAACCTGCTTTTCCAAGTTTACTATAGGAAAAAGCCTACTTGACAGGAATTAAGTGAGATTATATGGACTGAAGAGACCCATAGTTTTGAGGCAGATATTGAAATTCTGCTTGCATGGGCCAATCTGTGGATATCCTGGCAGAAGTTCTGTACTGACATTTATGTTCTGGCCAGTCTGAAGGAGACAAATGAGCCTACTAAGAGAAGGCAGGTTGATTCAAGTGTCATGTCTTACAGAAATAACCCAGTGTTCATAACACTGCTGCAGCAGGGCTTAGAACCTGATGTGTCTGGTTCTGGATCCCTTCCAAATATCCTGTGCACTGTGGTTTGAAAACACAGTGCCAACATGGATGAGGCTTCCCACATAGCTGACATAACTTTAAATATACTGCATAATATCTCTGAGGGACTTGTGGTGTACCCGAAGGTGATTGGGAGGGGAATCTGGCAGTACCGACCATTCATGACCACAGAGAATATAATCACAGCTATGGTAAAAGCACAGAGCACTTGTCAAGAGTGCCATGAGATTTTTGTACTTTCCCAGAAGTCAGATGCTGTTATAAGACAAGAAGTGATGATAATGACTTCATTGTCTATGTCTGTGCTGGTGCCACCCAAAGAGGAAGGAGAGAGAAACTGAGAGCAAAGTCTACACCACTGGACCTGGATACCAGATTACCTTTAAAACTAGTCCCTCACAGCCTGTATCTGGAAGCTTGAAAAGACCTGGTTTACCTGAATGCGTGCATACAGGAGGACCTGGACCTGATCTCCAAGGACTGCAGGGATAGAGGACAAAACTGTGTTTCACATCTGACAGTGAGCCTGGATAGCCAATTTTTAGGAAAGAACCTACAGGCTTGGAATCAACAGAACTCAAAATCAGCTAGGAACATATCAAAGGCTGCTAGGAGGATCAGATAAAACCTAGCTTGGAGTTGAATATAATGTGATTTTTGGCTTTGAACAATCTGAAACTGGAAGCCAAGCATATTCTGTTGAGATCCTAAACCAAAAAATGACAAAACCCCCATCAAGCTGAGATATTCCTCAGAATTTCCCTTATTAACCTGTACAAAGGAAGTGTAGAGGGATAATTCAACAATGAAATCTTGTTTTATATACACAGATTTCTATAGATGAACACAATTCTTAATCCTTAGATATCACAATTTGAAACAATGTCTTTAGATCCTTTTATGTCAAAATAAAATTCAGAAAACCCAATGTTAATTCCTTAACTTCTCCTTTTGATAATTCTCAGACATCCTGTCAAGTAAAGAAGGGAGCTGTTTTTCATATTATGGTATTTGAAATAAATAAAAGTGTTGTAAAATTATTACTACTATCATCAGGTAACAGCTTACCTGGAAATTTTATTAATGCATTAAGTCTTTTCTTCTAGAAACTAGAATCTCTACCCATATCCTCTGAATGCTGTGATTTCATCAGCTAAAAAGGCAAAATGAAGCTAAAATGTACTCACTTATTTTATTTCTCACTTCATTTAATTTTTCTCCAAGGCATTTAGCTTCAGCAAACCTGTCAATGCAAGCATAAAGATACAGAATTATTCTAAAGAACAATTAGTTAAACTAGTCTTTCACCATAAAATACAGAATTACTCAGGATTAATTTTTGATTTGTAAGTAGAAATAGTTGGAGGAATTTTCATCAAAGATTGTCTGGCCTAAAAGAAACCATTTCTGAAAGAGACCATGCAACAAATAAGTTTACTAGACAGACAAAGCAAACTTATTTGACTTCTTAAGTTTCAAAATTTATGTTATTTCAATTCTAATGAGTGGATTCTCCTAAATATTCATATTGCACTACAATATTAATTTTAATATGCTACATTACTTGCAATATTTTAATATATAAACAGATATATAAAAGTAAAAGAAAAAAAATCCAAGCAAAGTCAAAACAAAATGTTTGAAAGTATTAGAACTTCTGCTCATCAATTTTCAAATTTCATCCTCTAATTTGTATATTGCTGACAATCACTGTTTGTACTCTGTGAAAGTGTACCTCCCAGTCACGAGGAAATCTCTCAAACAGAAATATAAGGAAGTGTGACAAAACTATTGTGTTCTTCTACAGATAATCCTTATGTGAATGCAGACTTTCAGATGATATTCAGCTACTGCTCAAATACCAACAAAAGCCAAAGCTAGCCACATGAAGATATGCAAATAGCAAGCAAGAAGCAGGCTGAGAAAGATGGAAACAAATCAATACTTCCTTTTTGTCGTATGCAAATAGCTTGACCTCTAATCAAAACTGGAAATGATTTTTTTAAAGATGTGAAATTCCCACCAGGTATGTTTCTAAATTAATTGACTGACCACTTATTATATTCAAATAAACAAACCTTCACATGGTATGTAAAATATTCGAATGTTCAGAATTTTCTTTTTTTCATTTGCAACTGCTCATTGTATGTCTTGCTCCTTAGGAAATGTGTCATGTCTAAGTATATCCTTAAAAAACAGCTGCTTACGGAGCTTTACAAATTCACTTATATTCTCTACATTCCCTACAGTCTGCTAGAACTTGATGCCTTCTCCTTGTGTTTTTTTCTGTCAGTTTTCTGATCTTTTACAGCAGTTTCTGTCATAATTATTCTTTTACACTTATTTAACTCAGTATTATATAAAACTGTTTCAGACAAATGGCGTACAAATCAGGCTTTCAAATGCCAAGTATATTCTGCTGTAAAAATAATGACAGTCAATTCAATGTACAATGGCAAAGTCTGAAGAGTCTCTGAGAGAACTGAGGCTTGTTCAAGAAAATATCCATTGTAATAGACTCAATAGTAATAGTTAAAAATGTAGAAGGAAGATTGTGACATTTGTTGCAGGACATTAGGATTGGCATGAAATTCTGAATTGTTACTTGGATGTGTAAAAGTTGAACCTTGCTGAATGTGGAGGCAGAACTGTAATATTTAATTGTTAAGCAAGCCTTCAGCTGTTCTAGAAGAGCCTTGGTCTAGCCAAAGTAACCGAGGAAATCCACAAATTGTATTTCTGTCTAACTCAAATAATGGCAGAACAGAGTAATGAAATATGACTTTCCCCTGGGGAGGTGGTGTTTGGAAAATTACCCCTTCTCAATTAGTCCATTTCCTTGTAAAACTGGAACAAATTAGAATTTCAGGTGCCCGCATTTGTATCTGCTCACAAACATTCGCTTTCAAGGCTGAATTCAACATAGCTAAATGGCTGAAGCTGGAGGGTTCCTCAGCACTTATTGTTTCTTAAGTAAAGAATGCAGAAGCCTTTGAAGCACCTGTGAGATTTTTATATAAGCTTTTTCCACTGGTGTTGACTTAGCGCACCCAAGCAGGCCCTGAAGACTGTATAATTAAAGGGAAACACCCCAAAGTAGTTCTCTCTTTCTTTCCCTCAGCTCCCATGAGCCAAATACTAAGACTGTCAGTGACTTCGTAATTCCTGAGGCAAATCTCCTGTTGACTATTGACTCTGATTCATGTTCACAGAGGGATTTAGCTAGACAAGTTGAAGCCAGCTATCTAACCAGCCCTTATTTATAGGTTACTGTCAGTAGTTGAACAGGCCATGCATCTGTTTCTCAAACAGCAGGGTTTATAAACTAGCATAGTAACATAAACTGAAATTTGGCATTAATTTATGACAGTCCAACAAATTCCATCTGTGACTATGAATCATAGTCAAACAAAATAAACTAGACAAAGACATAGGATTTGACTCTAATATTGAATGGAGAAATGCTATTTCTGATACTACTCTAATAAAGAGGTGATATTATCTAGTATAAAGCTGATATTGTTGTGAATAGTAATGAGTGAACAATTATATTGTTAGCTGAAAAGAGTTCTTGTGTATCTTACATGGAGACCACTCCATAGAAAGGCTGAAGATGCTAAAACATATCTTCTATTACTGGCAAGATAAATATTCCATGATGAAACCCCAAAGTGAATTTAGCTACTAATTTTAGTAGAACAAGCATTTTTGCAAAGATTTCACTTTTTGGATGCAAGTGACAGTAATTAAAAAAAAAAATTTTGAAAAATAAATGTCTAACTCATAATGTAAATCAAGACAGACTCAGAGGATCTCTCTACTGAAAGAATGGAGACATCTAGTGAATTAAATGACCATTCACTAATTTTAAATTATTAGGAATCACAACAAAAATTGACCTAAGTGAAACTCATCCTTTGCATGAAACTCATCCATAGGTACTGAAAAAACAAGTTAGCTGCTAACCAGCTGAAACACAGAAAGCAAGGAAAGAAGAAAGTGGAAAAAAATAATGGAGAACAACAAAATGGAAACTAGATTTACATCATTTCTGTAAGCTTAGTAGAATTTTACTACTGGAAATACTGAATAGGATGGGATTTAAAAGCTTTGTGCAGTATACAATATTGCATCGGAATGGCTCAGCTGGGAAGATTTCTTGGTAGTATATTTCACCAGAAAATGAGATGTATTTTTCTCCTCAGAGAAACAATGCTAAGAAAACATGGTTGCATTGAGAAACTGGATATTATTAAGTTATCTGGAAGTCAAGTATAGGAAGTCCAAATTGCAGAAATCTGATTCTGTCTGGGCATAAACTCAGGGTTTTTTAAGTAGGGCAGTAGTTATTAATGTACAGAAGAAAAATGAAAAAGAATTGTGTTAACTGCAAACTAGGCTTCAGAAAATCACCCTTCCTCTCTTACAAGGCAACTTCCCATAGGCAACTGTCAGAATAGCTTGAATTTAGTGTCTTTCACTTGAACAGTAAGTCAGTAAATGAGCTTCAGAGAGGATTTATCCTTAACTATATAAGCGTCCCCACTTTTAAAATTCAAAGATGGTACTGAGTACTGAGCTACTGCTCCTGTAAAGAGCTCTGAAGTAATAGGTAAAACATTTTATATCAAAAACAATATTTCTTTTATATATGTTTTTTAAATGAGACAATTTTTTTTTTTCAGTATTCAATTTAATCAATCAGTTACATTTGATTGTTTATACACTGGTAGTTACAGAAAAAAATGTATATTTTATATGCATAACTATGTATATTCATATCTGTACAAATAATTTCACAGCCCAAGCAACATTTGTGACCTTCACAGTCAAATTTCCAACTAGGCTCACTGACAGTTCAACACTGAATTAATATAAGAATGATATAATGCACACTTGAAGTCTGATGGAGATAAGCCAGGGGCTCCTGAGGTATTAGGAGCCAACGGGGAAACACCAGTGAAATACCTCAAAGGAATTAAGGGGTGTTCCTCTGAGAAGGGGCAATGTGTACTCACAGGCAAGGAAGCCAACTGTATCTTGGGCTGCATCAAAAGAAGTGTGGTTGAGGGAGGTGAATCTGCCCCTCTGTTCTGCTCTGGTGGGACCCCCCCTGGAGTGCTGTGTCCAGCTCTGGGGCCCTCAGCGCAGGAAAGACTCGGGCTTGTTGGAGCAGATCCAGAGGAGGCCACAAAAATGCTCAGAGAGATGCAGCACTTCTGCTATGAGGTCGGGCTGAGAGAGTTGGGGTTGTTCAGCCTGGAGAAGAGAAGGCTTTCTGAGACCTTATTGCAGCCCTTCAGACCTTAAAAGGGGTCACAAGAAAGATGGGGACAGACTTTTTAGCAAGGCCTGTTGTGATAGGACAAGGGGTAATGGTTTTAAACTAAAAAAGGTTAGATTTAGATTAGATATAAGGAAGACATTTTTTCCAATGAGGGTGGTGAAACACTGGAACAGGTTGCTCAGAGACGTGGTAGATGATGCATCCCTGGAAATATTCAAGGTCAGGTTGGACGGGGCTATGATCAACCTGATAGAGTTGAAGATGTCCCTGCTCATTTCAGGGGGGCTGGACTAGATGACCTTTAAAGGTCCCTTCCAACCCAAACTATTCTATGATTCTATGATAATTAAGAAGCCAAGAAAGTCTACCCAAAATACCAAAAGGAAAAAATAAGACAGCTAAAAATAAATAATTTGTGAAACAAATACTGCTTGTGGTATGACAGAAGTGGTTATGTAACTATAAACAAAATTATTAACATGAGAGGCCTACATATAAAGGGAAGTTATGGTAACCTTTAAACATGTGGTGTCCACACACTTCTTCCTGTGCAATTTGAACACTGGCTGAGTAACACAGCTTTTGTGTAACTGGTAGTTCAGAGGCTGCATTCCAAATTACAGACTGGACTTGATATAAATCCATTCTAATGAACTCAGTAAACTCAGAGCTATAGACATCTTCACTAAAAACGACTGCAAATGGCAGAGGAAAACTGTCTTGCTCTAGGGTGTCAACATTCACATTAGCACGGAATTCAGCAATCAGCTGATGCATATTAGAGAGAAGTTACCCAAGGCATTAGTCTGAATCTCTTTGTCCTTTAGGGAAAGAAAATCTGGCATCAAACTTTGTGGGTTCTGCCCATCTCTATTACATGTTCTGAAACCAGAAGGAAATACCAGTTTGCTTTATAGTAATAACAAACAGAGAAAATATGGAAGAACTGTGATTAACTAGAGGAAATGCAGGGCATGGCTCAGAACTTTATTTCTTCCTTTATCATGCTGTGACCACGAAGTGTTTTCTTCAATAGACAGCAATGCCAGAAATTATTGCAGTGTAATGATTTATGCAGTGATGTGGCATCATCTGATACATTGATCAGAAGAAAGGCATTACTAAATATCCAATTTACATAGAAAAATTCTTACATACATCTAATACCTTAGCAAATTTTGTCCCTGTGGCTAAGTTATAGACACAAGTAGAAAGTTAACCAGTTCAGAAAAGAGTTAAATAGCAAGAACTTGAATAAGTCACAGAGATGTGGAGATAATTTCTTGCCTCAGTTTCACTGGTGTAAATAAGAGTCAGTGACCTTAAAACCAATGTCTTTCATGGCTATTAACTGGGATAATTGTGTTATTAGGAAAGCAGAAGAGGCCTGGAGAAGGAGAAAACCCCGGGACAAAATAGAAAAAAAAAAAAAATTAAAAAGAGAAAACCCCCAAACCTGATAGGGGAAATGTTAGTTAAAAGGGTAGATTGAGAGATCTGCTTTTGGCATCTCACTTCTCAAAATCTTGTATTTCTCTTGCAGTACAAGGAGGGTTAACACTTGAAAAATGGACACTGAAACAGTACTGTTATCCAATCAACATGGACAAGTGTTGGTGGTTTAATTTCTGAGATGTTTAAAATCTGCTTGATGAAAATTCGTGTTTTCAATGCTTTGCCATTCTCATCATCTTCACCGGAAGATTTTGAAGTGTTTTGCCAGCATTAACAATAAATGTGGAGGAGGAAACTATTATTTCTGGTTTTGAGTGCAAAACTGGCAGAAAGAAGCTAAAATCGCTTGGCAAACAAGTTAGGAACAACAGACAAAAGCATATGTTAAACATCTCCTAGCTTACTGTCCAACTAAGTGCTGAAGCCAGTAAAGCATTTTTGACAATGGAAATTGCAGTAATTGATTCAGTCACATGGATCTTACTTCTTCTAGATAATTCATGGTCATGAATGCCATTACCACATTGCTTCAACATGGCTATGAAGATAAGATAAATAAAACCAGAAGAAATATGCGCTAAGATTCATCATGCCACTTTCATATTCTATCCCAACTTTTATTCTGGCACCACTTAGTGCCTTCTTAATATGAAATAACCCCAGTAAGAAAAGGTGAAGTTTCTGTACCAAGTTCTCAATAGAAGCCTGGGACGTCTGGTGTAGAATTGCTCATTCCTACACAGACTCGTAACGAACTCTCAGATGTCTGCCTCTAGGTGTATCTTGCTGTGACACTCACCTCTGTTTTAGAAGCTCCTTGTTGTCCTCAATGGTTATACTGTCAGCATGGTCCTGCTTGAAAACTTCAAAAGCTTCCTGACATCCAAGTGACATCTTTCCTCCTGCCCCAAGAAAAAAACAAAAAAAAGGGAGCTACTTCAGAGACATCAAAAGACAGACATTTTGTATTTATTTAATTCCTATTTAGACAAAGATAGCAAGTCAGACCAGGGGTCTTAAAGCACCCAGAAGACTAAGTTCAATGTTCCACCAACAGGAAAGCATTTTTGACAAAAGATTTCTTTTATCTGACAAATTAATTTCATTTCACTTCACTTCTCTAAAGTCTGAATGTTTGAGCTGTACAGCTTCTCAAGACAACTTAAAATGTTCATAAATAATACCAAACTTTGAAAATTTACAATAGGTGAAATATTCTTAAGTGTGAACCAGAGGTATTTTCACAACAGCAAACTGCAATTTACTTCTGTGTTTTTTTCATCCCTGTTTCATATTTGCTCCTAAACATACTTAGAGTATTTGCAGTATTCTTGGAAGAAAATAATTCAGGCTTCTTTTAATTATGTATTAATGAATGTTTTCATATCCTTTTAAGTGAATAAGGTATTCTATCTACAAAAAAGGTTCTTTCCTGCCTTTTAAATTTTCAACATGGTGTTTGTTTCCTTCTGTGAGCTAGAAGGTCAATATCAATTTGGCTAATAAATCTTCTAAAAATTCACTACAGAAAAGTATTACAGTATGTATTACTTATCAGTTCTCATTGCTAGATGATCTACAGACCTAAATAAGAAATCATGCATCTGTATTATCATTAACAAAAAAATTCAGAGGCTTAAGGAGAATGAAAGATTACACCCGCACCTGTGTTATCACGAATACATATGTCAATAAAGAAGCAAGGAAAAAGGATGAGACTTGCACTTAAATAAATCACAGTAATGAAGATAGTTCGGGAGCAGAAAGGGGGAAGAATATTGCACTCAAACTGTGTGAAAAATGCAAAGTAGCTCCACTTCTAATTCAACATCATGGTTGCAACATAAACCTCTAAATTATATTCCTTAAATTGGAATTTGATTGTCCTTAGTTTTTTTTTTTCTCTATAGTCTTTCTTCCGTCCTACTCACAAGCCTTCCTTCCTGCTTCAGAGCTATTGAGATCCCCAAATCCGCTGTGCACAAGACCTATAAAGTTTCCTGGGAGTTCTGTTGTGCAAGAGTCTTCTATATGTTTTCTGTCAATGGACTAGCATTACCAATAACATATGTATGCATGTATGCCAATTATTTTCCAGGTTACCTGCTTCACATTTTTGGTGTAAGTGGGGATGAGACATTAACAAAACATACCTAAACAGGTTGGGATATGCAATACTGGGATGCTACACCTTATTGGGGTCTAGGTCCATAAGCTGCATTTTATAGTCACCAAATATGTTCTGCTGCCCCTCATCATACTTCTAATACAAGGATTACCCCCGATTGACTTCAGTGAGATTTCTGTGGTATAAGATACTGTTTAAAGTGAAGGTTGGTAACAAAAACTAGCACTTACTGTTCAATAATCAATAAAAGTTTAAAAACTTTATTCAAAATATAGTAGAAAAATTTGCCCTCTGTTTCAGTTAAACGAATCAGCACATCTGTTACTAATTTAAAATTTTGCGTTGAAAATAGAACCACCAGGAATGTTTGAATGGCAAAGCATGCAGAAATGCTCCACCCTTTTTGAATAAGAAAATCAAAGAAAGATACAGTGCAGTCTTTACTGCTGTGTGATCCAAAGGCGCAAGAGGATTTAGGAAAATATATTTTTTCTCTGATGATGACCCGAGAATATAATGTTCATGTTTCATGCTTGCCTTGAAGAAAAACAGGCAGCTTTGCAAAAAGAATTTTATAGCACATTCATCCCATCACTAGCACTAATTTTAATATGCAGCCTGAATTGACCCTCTAGAATTGCTTTTGTTGCAGAAAAAGTTTGTATTAAATGAAGAAAGCCTGGACAAAATCCATGGCTGAGCCTAATACAAACAATGAAATGCCCTTACTCATACGTAACACTGCAATGTAAAGTATTTAACCCTTCTGGCAATGTGCTGCCTTTGAGAATAGAAGTAAAAACAGTAGAACTAAGTTTGGAAAACAAAACTTTTACAGTGATTATTGCTTCTGCCTGGCAGAAATGCATCAACCAAAATTAAAGGTAATCTGATAATCATTTTTCAGCAGTACATTAAGAGGCAGCAGATTTGTACAGCCAAGCAAAGCACACGAAAATAGATCCCCATAACTCTTAGGAAGGGGAAATTTTCTGGTTTATACAGTCCATTTTAACAAAATACAGAAATATATGGAGAAGTAAACAATCACATTCTGAAAATGGTATCTAAAGAAAAAAGATTAAACAGGACCATTAAGATTGTACCTCAGCATAATATGAGCATAAAAAAGCCACAGAAGAACACTGCAGCCTGTGGGTAATGACAGAGGTATTTAGGATGATAATAAGGAATACAGCAATGTTAATACTAGTAAAAGACTGTAAAAAACATTGGAAGCTTGATGGAGTGGTCGTGTTTTCATTCTGCTCAGTAATGAAGGTTTTTCTTTCTCCATGGCTGACGTTGTATCTTCAACCATAGTGTTTACGTCTCCTTAAATCATCTATAATTTCATCAAGTAGCTTCACCTTCTTTCAAATGGCCTCTAAGTGCAAAGGTGCACTAACATTATTGGCATGATGTTTCTCCTAGGCCTAATTCAAACAAATAAACTATAAATTCTTTTAAAACAAGGTGCTATTTCATTTTTCTCTAGCTGTAAATTGAAATATATGTATAGCAGTATATACACGATATGAATAAAAGCAGAACTGAGAGAAGAAACCATTGATGGTAACACATTTTTGGCAAGCTGGTTGAACAGTTCAGCTAAAATTGTTAGACTTTTAGAAAACAATTTGTTTTACTCTTACAGGCCAGACAATTTATCCTCTCATTCTTTCATATCATAGTGTAACAAAATAGATATTTGAAAATTCTTATCTAAGGATGAATCATCATATCCTACAGGATGAGAACCAGGAAACACATATCATCAAGTCATTACAATGTGAACTGGAATAATCATTACCACAAAAATAATACAGATCATTGGAAAAAGCATAAAATTTTCTTGCAAACACATGCATAAAACCCTAGTTGACAGGGTTTCATTAAAAAGTGATAAATTTTGTATCAACATGTTTGTAATTATACCTTTCCTGATAGGTTGTGTAAATTGGCTTTAATCTAAAACCACTCACAAATATGACCAACTCACAGTTTACAGAAAACCCATCATTATTTACAGCAAATTCAAACAACTGAAATTTTGAGAAAATTCATGTTTGATCCACATCCTGAATTTGAATGTTTAAGAATTCTCATTGAAGATTCAATTTCAGTGTGCACTCCTATCCAGTGCACTCCACCAACTTTCACATTAAGCAAAAAGTTTTGGTTCAATAGACTCCTCTTTTAAAATGTGCAAATTACAGGTGTCCTACTGAACCTGGGTAAGTCAGAAAGCAGAACGACAATGATGGCTCACAAGGTCTGAAATAGAACAGGATCTGAAATGACCAAGAAATAGAAAGCTTGCTGTGTTATAGATAATGGGATAAATTTTTGAAATCGGTAATAATACAAAATACACTGAACAAAAATATAATAAGGCTTTTGTACGTGGCTGATTACTTTCTGAGGTGACATGAAAAGATCAAAGTGATTTCAAGATTCAGCTGTATGACTAGAGCAGGTAAAATCCTGCATACCAGCAAAGCCCCTGGCAGATATTATGCACCCTACTAATTTAGAGATCATTTATTCTATGCTGTTACATATGCAAATGCTATTTACAGCCATTGTAAACAACAACTGTTTAGTGCCTCAAAAACTTTAATTAGGGAAATAAGTTAAAGGAACATGTAGTGCATAGTGTGGTGCTGGATGCTCAACTGCCAGCAGAGAAATTATAGGGCTGAATGCTATTTTTAAGTTAAACAGTAGCCACTGGATTTACTCAAGGACTGTATCTGAGTAGGTAAGAGCATGCAAGTGTATAAACTTAGACCTTATTTTGTTGCCACAATTGATCGAATACAGTTGTAGAGATTTAAATGACCATAAGGATTTTTAAGTGTATCCAACATCTACAAATCTAATTGCAGCTTGCTTTAGTGATCCCAGTTTATAAATACTGGACAATTTTTAAGGACTTAATTTTAGTGTTTTTTCATAAAGATTTCAAGAGTGCTCAAACTGGAAATGGCACTTCCAGAGTGATGAGTCTGGCCACCTTTTTTTTGTTTGTTTGGTTTTTTTGTTAATTTTTTGTTGAAAAAGGGTTTATTGCTCAGATGGAGAAGACTTTCATAAAGTTTAATGCATGAAACCCACAGAAAACATTTACATTACTCTTCAGTTAAGTCTGGAAAAATCTGTCAAATAGCATGAAACTGATATTTTCTCTGTCAGAAACCAGAATCACAGCGTCTCCTCACAAACTTGTACCCAGATTTTGGTTCTGGTATGAGAGCTCCAAGGGGGTTCCAGCAGCCCTCATGCTGGAGACAGCCAGTTTAACCTGTAATAAAAAGAGTTGGAAACAAGTCTCCAGGAGAGAAGAATTAAGGTTGCAAGTTGAGCTGATGTGAGGGAGGAACATTAAGACTGCTAACAAAAGCAAACTCCTGGTAATAGCTGTTCAGACCATGTATTCTGATGAGAAAGGCATCTGTCCACATATCTGCCCACATATCTGTTTTGCAGAAACTACATTTTCACATCAGAAGACTGTCCTTCCACTCCTACCAAGTGTTCTATCAGACAAGAATTGTCAAAACTTCCACTGAAATCAATAGAAGCAAAAAGTCCCCTTGGCTCAAGGAAAGCTCTCATTCAAGTGAGGGTTGTCTGAAGAATTTCAGGATGGCAGCTAGTATGAATTTTGAGTCTTCATGCTTATAAAGACTGTCAACCTGTTCATGCTATTATGTATTTCCACTTATTATCAAATACAAACAAAGGAACTGTGGACCATTCCAAATGAAA